ACAGATTTATAAAGTCTTGATCGTAATGATAGTGGGATGTCAGGCCGCATCAATATAGAGGCAAGGAGATGCCATTTATTCCAGGCTGCACGTATGCGTGCTCGAACGGCAGCTTCAGCTGTTCCAGTACAATCCAGAACATCTCCTAGATATTGAAACGATGTGACTTTCTCTATTTTAATGGCTTCAAAAACAGTGCTATTTCGAATTTGTTGTTGAGGATTGATGCAAGCAGGACAAACGAAATTGTACACTTTAGATAAAGTACCAATTATTTTTGAACAACACAACGTTTGTGACACCACTGGTTACACTGCTGACACTTGATTGAATTGTTACCTACACCAGCTTTACAAACTGGACAGGGCCATCGTCCAGTAGCTGTGGATTGGATGGGTTCACCAATGTTTATTGCTTTGGTTTTGCTGATGTTGACTTTGAATCCATGATCGGCGAGTCTGGTGTTCCAATCTTCAAACATCTGTGCTGCATTCTGCTCAGACGTGGCTGTAAAAACGATATCATCAGCTTATATTAAATTCCAAATGTCACCAGTGCGTATCGGTTTTGTGATTTCTTCCATCACAGTTATAAATAACAGTGGACTGAGAATCGAGCCTTGGTGAACTCCAACGCCGATGTCAAATGCATCTGTGTTTTCAACCGTTGTGCAGACAAGAGTCTTAGTATTTGTATACATTTCCATCACAAGTCGAACAAGATATTCTGGAATGAGTTGTCGACGTAGACTCCAACTGATTGCTTCACGGGGAACTCGATCAAATGCTTTTTCAAGGTCTACAAAAATGTGTGATAGTTGTTGATGCTTTGCGAGGTACTTCTCTTGAAGTTGCTGAAGGATGTGAATTGCATCAATTGTTGAAACCAACTTGATAATTTCCGATTGTGGTGCACGACGTTAATCTTCTCTCAATGATTTTCTCGACAATTTTTAGAGGGAGTGTTCTTACAGACGTATACCCAGATATGATGAACAGTTCAATGAATCACCTTTGCCTTTGTATAGCGGGACTGTCATGCTATAGTTCCATTCAGTCGGCATTGAGCAATTTTTCCAGATTTCACGGCAAAGTTGTAGTAACGTTTGGATACCTGCAGTACCAGATGCTTTGATAATGTCATTTGTGAGTCCAGAGGGCCCTGCTGCCTTTCCATCCTTCGTAGCTTTCAGAACTTCTGTAAGCTCCTCCATAGTGATGTCTGGAATCGGACCTTCGATGGGTGGAGCGTCAAAGTTAACATTGATGGGATTTGTTTTGTTTAACAGACGGTTGAATATATATATATATATATATATATATACATATATCTTAATCTAATATATATATATATATATATATATATATATATATATATATTCTGCCGAATGTTTGGCG